GGTCAACCCCATCTTCTCTCTCTCTCTCTCTCTCTCTCTCTCTCTCTCTCACACACACACACACACACACACACACACACACACAGCAAGCTTGGTAACAGAACCAGGTGTTGAACACCTGATGGAAGGCAACATTGTTGGGGCCAATCTGACCTTCAAAGAGTATGATAGTCCAAAGGGTGGGCAGTATGTTTTATAACAGTGGTTGCGAACCTATGGCACGCGTGCCAGAGGCGGAACTCAGAGCCCTCTCTGTGGGCACACGCACCATGCCCCGGAGATGGCAACCGTCCCTCTTCAACCAGCCGCCTGCTAACTCAAGGTCCCACGTGGCCGGATGCATCCCAGCATGGCTGGTTTCCCTCCCCCTGTCCCATCCCTCCTGGCCTCGCATCCTCTCCTTTTCCCGGGCACGACGCACTGCATCGCCTCCTCAGTTGTCGGCCGGCCATCCAGCTCAGAGGCGGCTTCTCTGAACTGCTGGTGGTGAGCTGCGGAGCCCCAGAGTGCGCCGGTCGAGGGGCCGACAGGCTGTGGCTGCTGATGGACATTGTCGGCCCCCATGCGCTCGCTGGCCTCTGTGTGTGGGGGCCAATGGTGTTAGGCAGCAGTCACCCCGGCCCCTGCCTCGCCTTGCCCTGCGACAATGGCACCCCCGCCCTGCCTCGCCTTGCCTCACCTCACCCTGCAGGACGAGCCTCCTGCCCACCGCCCCACCTGCCAGAGACCCCCTGGATCTCCCCCAACCCTGCCCGGCCCCCACAGGCGTCCCTCCCCACGAGCAACATTGAGGTGACCACACCCACCTTAGCCACACCCACCCAGTCTGCCATGGCCACAGCCACGGCCATCCAGCGGCCATGCCCACCTGGCACCCGGCGATAAATAACTGGGTTTTGGGTTGCAGTTTGGGCACTCGGTCTCTAAAAGGTTCGCCATCACTGTTTTATAAAGTTTAAAAAGTTTACAATGTTCTCTAAGGTCCCTAGTATATGAATAAGTAGACATATATCAATAAATCAACATATTGGGAAGACCTGCTCCAACGTTTTAGGGATAAGGTTGCCAAGCTGAAAAAAGTTTAATAATTTGCTGTTCTACTTTGCTGTTCTGGGAACTAAGGTCCCTTAACTCCATCTGCTGGTTCAAAGCAAGTCCTGAAACCTCGTCTGTCTTTTACTCACACAAGGAATTTACTCTGATGAAGGTAAGACAGGTGTCTTGAGACGCTCCACAGGTGCGGCTCACGCCAGTGCAGTCTTTACCTGGACCTTGACAGGTGTCACAGATCAAACAGGAACCTGGAAAAAAAAAACGCAGATGCAATGTGGCTTATTCAATAAGCTATGATGGAGAAACTGTGTTTCAGTTGAATATGTCTCATGGTGCAGAGTAGTGTTTCTTAAACCTTTTGTTCTTAGGACCCCTTCCCAGTTTTAAAAATTATGAAGAACCCTCAAAGAACTTTTGTTTGCATGGGTTACCTTTATTGATATTTACTATATGAAAAGTAATGCTTTTTTTAGAATATTTATTTATGGAATCATATAAAAGCACCACTATAAAACCCGTGAAATTTTAAGTAAATGTTTTTTCAGAAAAAAAACCTCTATATTTTTTAAACAAAAAAAAAAGAGTGACGTTGTTTTAAATTTTTGCAAATATCTTTCCTATCTGGTAAATAATTTTGATTTTGGAGACCTCTGAGATGGGTTTGAGGGGACCTCAGGGATCATCAGACCACACTTTAAGAAACACACGTATGGAGAAACCATAGCTCAGCGTTTCATCAGAATGAGAAGATGTAGAAAATCCATCTAGAGTTCCTTGTCTTCATCAAATGAGGTTATCTGTCTTTAGTAGCCCCTCTCGAGTCCATACTCAGAATAACAGAGTAATAAAGTTGGAAGAGACCTTGGAGGTCTTCTACTCCAGTCCCCTGCTCAAGCAGGAGACCCTATACCAGGGGTCTTCAAACTCGGCCCTTTTATGACTCATGGACTTCAACTCCCAGAATTCCTCACCCAGGCACGCTGGCTGAGGAATTCTGGGAGTTGAAGTCCATGAGTCATAAAAGGGCTGAGTTTGAAGACCCCTGCCCTAGACCATTCCAGACAAGTGGCTGTCCAGTCTCTTCTTAAAAACCTCCAGTGATCTAGCATCTACAACTTCTGGAGGCAAGTCGTTCCACTGGTTAATTGTTCTCACTGTCAGGAAATTTCTTCTTAGTTCTAGGTTGCTTCTCTCCTTGGTTAGTTTCTATCCATTGTGTCTTGTTTTCCCTTCTGGTGCTTTGGAAAATAGGTTGACTCCCTCCTCTTCTAACCTGTTGCTTCTAGAGCAAGGTAAAAACATTCAAGCATACAAGCACATCTCTGAGACTGGACGCATCCACCTTGCCTTTACTCTAGCTGTAAAGCAGAAAGACTGCAATGTCCATAACTACGTCAAAGCAAACTTACCTTGAGTTAGGAGTGTGGCCAGAAGGACGCTGAGGCTGGACAAAGAGGCCATGTTGGTGAGTCCCATAATCTGCAGATCCGTAGAATCTGAGTCGGAAGCATTCTGAGCGGGGGAATATATACTGGACTAATTACATAAGGGTGAGGGAGTGAGCAAACAAGAATGGCTTGAGAGCCACTTAAAACCTGGGCAGCCCCTATCTGTTTTTTGTACTTCTGATTTCCTTGTCTGCTGATGGCCTCAGGGGGCCCCTTTGTGCGCCAGGTGGCTGTATTCCCCTCGCCAAAAAGAGCATAACCGACTTCATTTTCTGAAATGTCTCTTGTGCTTGGCAAGGGAGGGAGGCAAGGTGTTGCATTTCAATTCACAGAATATAAAAAGAAAAGAGGAGTGCTTCCTTATCTAAAATCTAATGGCCACTTCACATTTTGTCCAGAACAAATGACCCCATTTGCAGTGGGACCAAGTCCCAGTCATCTAAACTTTCACTCCAGCTTGGCATGGGGGAACAGCCATCTGGAGATGCCAAGATTGCAATTATTCAGAACAACCTCTTCAGATTGCCTTTATTTCCAAGAGTAACGCACTGTGTGTTTGTGTGTATGTGTAAGGGGGTGGAGGTTCATTGTGAATCTGGGGGCAAGCAGGCATCTTAGCAGCAGCTCCAGGTGCCGAGAGCCTGCCTTGAAGGCTTTTGGTTTCAAAGATCTTGGCCACTATTTTGCATCCTGATGACTGGACAATTCTAGTGGCTATAGTTATTCCCAGTTGGAAATGGCCAGTATAATCACAGCACAATTCCTTCTGTAACTGCCCTTAAGGCAGTTGGAACTTGTCACTTGTTCACCCTTCATAATGAAGGGTGAGGAGGTCCAGTCTACAAAGAACTTCTGGGTATATAAAACTTTACTGTGCTGTTAACCAATCCTGAAATGGCTCAACAGTTAACATAGGGATTCAAACAAAACCCAGTGCTTAAACATGGTAGCTAAAGAAATTCCAAGTGGGTCTGAAACCGAAGAGACATAACACTGACTTCTGACACAAGATGTGTGTTTCCGAACCAGTTTTGGGGAGAAAAACAATATTAATAGTCACACCAAGCAATTAAATAGGATGCTCTTCTCAGACTTGAGCATTAACGAAAGGTTGTGAAGCCCCAAAGGTATCAACATTAACTAAAATTAAGAAACATTATGAATCCTACAGCGGGACATGTTGAGATTACAGCATCCGTCTTAAGTTATAAATTATGGTTTACTGATGGACAATTTGGTTCACCCGATATGCTAAAGCCAAATGAAACAAACCACATTATGGATTGTTACACTGTAAACAATTTTAAAGGAACTCTTGGCTATATCAAGAATGCAAAATTTAGAACTTCCAAGCTATGATTTGGATTCTTTTAGGGGGCCCTGCCCCACAACTATAACTAAATCTATCTTGTCTGGATATTTGGAATGGGATGTGTGTGTGTGTGTGTGTGTGTGTGTGTGTGTGTGTGTGTGTGTGTGTGTGAGAGAGAGAGAGAGAGAGAGAGAGAGAGAGAGAGAGAGAGAGAGAGAGAGGTTTTGAAATACTGACACCAGCTAATGTAAAACTATGGTGTCCATCATCTTTTCCAATCAAGCAACCTTCAGATACGTTGGGGTCCTACTTCTGTAACATCACACCTTTTTTTATTCCAACATTGCCAGAACCAGGCTGGTGAAGCATATATAATATATTGATTTTCTGTCCCTGTTGCAGTGTCTCTCAAGTTTTGTTGTTGGATGGGTGAGTTTGAAAGTTGACATCCATCCATCTTAAAGCTGGCGAGGTTGGGAAACATCGCCCTATGAAATTATTTTTAATTTTTTTATTATTATTGCATAACAAACATGTCAGTACTAGATTAATAACCTGACTCATGGAAATAATGCATTGCTACTTTTGTTGACACTCATTCTTTTTTTTTTTTTAACAAATGTTACTTATTTGCCTTTTCAGAGATAAGGCTAGCTAGGCTATTTTACTTCCTCCATACTAGAGGTTTATCTTGCTAACTAATGGTGGAAATCCCTCCCAATGTTTTTCAAACTTAGTCACTTTTGTGGCCTCCAAATTCCCAGAATTCCTCAATAAGACCATGCTGGCTGAGGAATTCTGGGAGTCGAAGTCCACAGGTCTCAAAGCGTCCAAGTTCGAAAAACAAACTCCCTCAAAAAAGACAGTTTAAAAAAAAACACGCATGCGCAGAAGCGAAGCGCAAGCAAAAAGCCGCGCTTCGAGCGCCAAAGCATCGTGATCGGAAAGGCGCGAATCCGAGCATGCGCCAAGAGCTTCATTTCTCCCCCCCCCCCGCCTCCCATGACCCTCCGCTCGGTCGGACTGCGCGGCGTTTTAGAAGACGTCATCGGTTTGAGTTTGCGCGCGGAGTGGAGGCCGCTCGAGGAACCATAGAGATGGGCGCCGCTGAGTGTAGAGCGCCCACTTCCGGCGCTTGGCGGAGTTTTGCTGCCGGGTGACGGCGGGTGACAGAAAGTGGCGGGGCAATGCCGGAGATCGAGATCCGACATGTGGTATCCGCGAGCAGCTCCGACACGGTAGCTCGGTGGGGCGGCGGCGGCGGCGGCGGGGGCGGGGGCGTCCGCTTGGGGAACAAGGCAGCGGGGAAATGGGGCTGTTAAGTTGGGGGATGGAGGCAACCATTCTGAGGCGGGGGGGGAGTCGGATATGGGGGCGGTGCACCCTGGTGGCTTCTTGGGGTGGGGGGGGTGAGAAACCGTACGGGCGATACAGCCTCCACTCGACGAAGCCGCGGTTGCCTTCCCACGATACCTAGGCCAGACAAAGCCAGAATGGCTACTTTGGGCTCTAGCGTGTTGGGGGAAGCCAGCAGTGGTCGCCAGGCTGGGTGGGAAACCGACCATAAGAAAGGCTGAGCGCCAAAGAATGGAGGCCTTTGAACTAGGGTGCTGGAGAAGACTCCTGCGAGTCCCCTGGACTGCAAGGCGATCCAACCGGTCAGTCCTGGAGGAGATCAAGCCTGACTGCTCTTTAGAAGGCCAGATCCTGAAGTTGAAACTCAAGTCCTTTGGCCACCTAATGAGAAGGAAGGACTCCCTGGAGAAGAGCCTGATGCTGGGAAAGATGGAGGGCAAGAGAAGAAGGGGATGACAGAGAAGGAGGTGGCTGGATGGAGTCACTGAAGCAGGAGGCGTGAGCTTAAATGGACTCCAGAAGATGGTAGAGGACAGGAAGGCCTGGAGGAACGTGGTCCGTGGGGTCATGACGGGTTGGACACGACTTCGCAACTAACAACACCTTCAAGAGTATCTTTTTAGAGATAGGACTGGACAGATATGCATAATAAGCAAGTAAAGCCTAAGACTGAAGTAAGGTTGTAACATGGGAAATGAAGAAGTTTTACTCTCTAATTAGTTGTGACTGCTGAAAAAAGCCTCTAAGGCAGCAAAGCTGGCTGGGGAATTCTGGGAGTTGAAGTCCACACATCCTCAAGCAGTAGGCGTGAGCTTAAATGGACTCCAGAAGATGGTAGAGGACAGGAAGGCCTGGAGGAACGTGGTCCGTGGGGTCGCGATGGGTCGGACACGACTTCGCAACTGACAACAACAAGGCAACCTGGGCTCTTTTATGACTCGTGGACTTCAACTCCCAGAATTCCTGAGTCATAAAAGAGCCCAGGTTGCCTGCCCCTGCCTTAAGCCGTAACCTGGATGATTTGGTTTCAGCATCTGGGATCCCAAAGGTGCCTTTTTTTTTTTTCTCACGAGGCAACTGGACTTTATTTCTTCTGCTTCTTGGATGAGAAGCGAAAGGTCTTCAAGGGAAAATGAAGTCCCAGTTGCCTTTTGAAAAAGCACCTTTGGGACAACCCTGACCCTGGAGGACTGAGAGTCTCCAGAGACCTTGAGCATCTGGGATGTAATAGGAACCAATCGTTGTCATCCCCCTCAACTGCTTTTAGGGCTTGGTATGTTGGGTGGAGCTAACCCAAAACAGACGGAGAAGGGAAAGAAGAAGAAAAATGAAGGTGTCATAAGAGGAAAAAAAGGGATGTCTGCGAGAGAGGGGCTGCACTAACATAACACGTCTGACTAAACTGGGTTTGGGATATTCTGTTTTGAATAAGAAGAAAAGAAAGAAAAAGAAAAGTTGGAAAGGACCTTGGAAGTCATCTAGTCCAACCCCCTGCTCAAGCAGGAAACCTTATATCATTTCAGACAAATGGTTGTCCAGTCTCTACTTAAAAACTTCCAGTGTTGGAGCACCCACAAGTTCTGGAGGCCATTTGTTCCACTGATTAATTGTTCTAACTGTCAGGAAATTTCTTCTTAATTCTAGGTTCATTGTCTCCTTGATTAGTTTCCATCCATCACTTCTTGTCCTGCCTTCAGGCGCTTTGGGAGAATAGCTTGACTCCCTCTTCTTTGTGGCAATCCCTGAGATATTAGAAGACTGCTATCATGTCCCCCCTAGTCCTTCTCTTCGTTAAACTAGACATGCCCAATTCCAGCAACCGGTCTTTATATGCTTTAGCCCAGCGGTTCTCAACCTATGGGTCGCGACCCCATTTGGGGTCGATCGACCATTTCACGGGGGTCGCCAAGCAAGGCTGTCTGCCATTTTTTTGTCCGCCATTTTTTTCCCCTTTTCCGGCGGGTGCCTTACCTCCCTTGGGCTGAGCCAGCTGGTGGTCGGCCTGATCCGTCTCTGCCGCTTGCCAGCTACGCCTCGGCCGGCGCAGGGGGCGGAACCGCACATGCGCGGCGCTCCCGGGCAGGGAAGTCCTTGACTTACGACCGGTTGGGTAGTCCTCGACTTACGACCGGTTTAGTCCTCAACTTACGATCGGTTTAGTCCTTGACTTACGACCAGTTGGGGGTCGCGGCATTAAAAAGGTTGAGAACCACTGCTTTAGCATGTTACATGAAGTAGACCATTGCATTACTGTAAGCCAGAATAGAGCTCAGCTGGGTTTCTCAACCTCAGCAACTTTTCAGATGTGTGGACTTCAGTTCCCTGAAGTTGGCTGGGGAATTCTGGGAATTAAAATCTATGCATCTTAAAGCTGTTGAGGTTGAGAAATGCCAGAAGAGAGCAACAGGTACTTTTTGATGGATTTAAAGTTGAAGTGTGCTGTGTAAACCCAGTCCATGTCTAAGACCATTGGGGAGGAGGAGGAAAGGAAAAAAGAATAAGAAGGAGTAAAGAAGGGATGAAGAAGTTGATGTATGGATAGCAGGATTGTTTTCTTGCCCTTGATTTAGCCTCTTCTCCTGTCCCCAGACTCATTGTGCTGAGAATCTGCTCAAGGCTGACACCTATCGCAAGTGGAAGGCTGCCCAGGCTGGGGAAAAGCAAATCTCTGTCATATTACAAGTGAGTTTCTGCTAATCCCTGTGTGAAATCAGTCCCAAACACTGTCTGCAGTTGTTATAATACTTGCAGTATGACAACTTGCTGTAAGCACATTTATGCAGTTAGAAACGTGTGTGCATGTAAATTATAGTTCGTCAAGCCCAGTGCTTTTATTTTCTCTCTCCCTCTCTCTCTCTTTTTCTATGTATATGTATGTATATATAACACAAATAAATGCTTTTCAGGTGGTATTTGGAATTTCTTCATAATTCTCTTATTATTGCAGTTCATCATTCTTCTGCAGAGCCATACTGTATGCTCAGCCCTCCACCAGTCTCCTCAAAATTAGCTACTCTTAAGATGTTAGAAAAAGCAGCAGCTGGAAAAGGAAAACTTGGCTGTCTTAAATAAATTGCTGTCAGTCAAATTGGATAATAATGAGTTTGTTCCTGATTTAGTGTAGGGTCGTTCTATTTGCTGTTAGCATGGCTCAAATACATGGTTGGGGTATATTTGGTTAAATCAATATCCAGTTGTTAAGACCTGGGCCTATAGGATTCCTTTCCTGCATTTTCCACAATTCCTTACTGTACTCTCCTCTCCCCCCCCCCCCCAACAGTTTGAAAAAGAGGAGCAAATTCACAGCATTGATATTGGCAATGAAGGCTCTGCCTTTGTGGAAGTGCTGGCTGGCAGCTCTGCCTCCGCCAGTGAGCAGAATTACGAGGTGAGTGAATTCAGTACTGTCTGAGAGTTGCCATCACAGCACGGAAGTGATATTCTTTGGGTCTTCAATGAAGGGGGTTTGGTGCTATTTCCTTTGTTCCATTTGAATATGTACAGTCAGAAATAGTAGGATTCCAGCAATGTAAAACAAACATCATTTGAATACAGGTGTGTGTGGCTCCATACAGGATGACTGCTTAGCAGTTTAGGCAAAACACTAGAGCAGGGATAGGCAACTTTGGCTCTTTTATGACTCGTGGACTTCAACTCCTAGAATTCCCGAGCCAGCCATGCTGAGGGGAAAGGGAGAGGTTGCCATGCTGAGCCATGCTGGCTGAGGAATTCTGGGAGTTGAAGTCCACGAGTCATAAAAGAGCCAAGGTGTTCCAATATCTCAGGGGCTGCCCCAAAGAAGAGGGAGTCAAGCTATTCTCCAAGGCGCCTGAAGGCAGGACAAGAAGCAATGGATGGAAACTGATCAAGGAGAGAAGCAACCTAGAACTAAGGAGAAACTTCCTGACAGTTAGAACAATTAACCAGTGGAACAACCTGCCTCCAGAAGCGGTGAATGCTCCAACACTGGTAGACTGGACAGCCATTTGTCTGAAATAGTGTAGGGTTTCTGCCTGAGCAGGGGGTTGGACTTGATGACCTCCAAGGTCCCTTCCAACTTTATTATTATTATTATAACACTTATTGAGTCTTTAGGTCCATCATAAAATATGGCAGTCTTCCAATTATTATTATTATTATTGGGACCCTACTTTCCCCCTATGCTTAATCTCCGTGTTGTGATTTTTTTTTCCTGTGTGTGGCAGTTTCTCTCAAGAGCCCAAATTCTGATTTGATGTTCTATTGCTTGTTCTCAGGGTGTCTGGGGAGGACTCTTCTGGATTAAGACGGGGATTTAGTAAGAGATATATTTTCAAAAAGATGCGTTTCTTGATTTCCATTGTAGCGCTTTCCATTCTACCTCAGGTGCTGTTGGTGACATCCTCCTTCATGTCTCCCTCAGAGAGCAAGAGTAGCACCAACTTGAACAGAGTCCGTATGTTTGGGTCAGATAAACTGGTGAAGGCTACAGCTGAGAAGAAGTGGGACCGAGTTAAGATTGTTTGTACCCAGCCGTACACCAAGGTTTATATTTTGTAAACAAACTTATATGGGATGCTGGCAGGAGTCTGCCTTGGACTGCTGCATTTATTTCTTCCTCAGAAGCTTGATAAGGAGCTGGTACCTTTTAGTGTACTCTTTAGCACAGGGGGTCTTCAAACTCGGCCCTTTTATGACTCAATGGACTTCAACTCCCAGCATTCCTCAGCCAGCGTGCCTGGCTGAGGAATTCTGGGAGTTGAGTCCATGAGTCATAAAAGGGCCGAGTTTGAAGACCCCTGCTTTAGCAACTCTTGTGTTTGATATCTGTCAGTTGGGTTCCATGCCTCTTGTAACTGCATTTTAAGGGTGAAATGGTCATCATTTCCTAATATGAGAAAAGTAGATCTCATGCAGTATTGAAGATCATCTGGCAAACAGAAGTAAATATTTTTGAGTATTCAGCCTTTCTGGAGGTGAGGTGAAGCTCATCTTCAGAAGTTCACAATTAATGCCTTTTCTAGATCTAGATGAAGGTCTGTAGATAATTAAATGAGTTAAAATCTAGTTGATCCAAAAAAAAAGGTAACAGTTATTAGCCATTTATGTTAAGCAAGACTGTCCCTAAGAGATGCTATGAAGAGGAAATTGCAAGCTCTCAATAGGTCAACCTTCCTGTTGATTTATTAAGCCCACCAGAGAACCTTCCAGATTTCTTTGGAGTTGGGAATTGTAGACGTTGAAATCCCCACAGTAGGGCAATGCCCCAAGAAGGCTATAGTAATGCTAGTCTTTTTTCTAACATTTATTAGCCACTCCTAAATTTATCTACCTTCTGTTACAGAGCTGGTTTCTGTCCTAGCTTTGGACAGAATGTGGTCTGTAATTAGAGAAGACAGTTGCACGTACAGAATGACAATTGTTTATGGCTGCTTAATTTGCCTAAATCTGAATCCTCTTAACATCTCTCTTCAGTCTCTGGCTTATGGCCTTTCCTTCGTGAGGTTCCATTCTCCTCCAGACAGCACTGAGACACATTCCAAAATGGCTTCACCGGTGAGCATCCCTTAAGTTACCCGATATCTGTGGTCTTGTATTTCACCGCTCTTCTTTGCCAAAAATCTGGATATCTCATTCTCTTTTTTGTTCCACCTGCATCAGAAAGTCACCAAATTGGGCCAGTTTAAGGTGAAGGAGGATGACAGCAATTCCAGCTCTTTGAAACCCGGTGCTCTCTTCTTCAGCCGTGCCAGTAAACCCCTAGTCTCCCCTCCTAAAGGTAATTATCACACATTTTATCCCACCTAAAGGTTATTGGAAGTTCACCGTTGTGGTAATCAGTGCTCAGTCATTGCAGGGTGCAAATATGGCTGGCTGCCTTCGCAGCGTTTATTGCCTTATATACAGGTATTCAAATAGCATAAAGTAAGATGGCATCAGCATAGCAACAGCATTTCTATTGGTGAAACCCCTTGCCAATCATTAAGAAGATATCAGCTAAGAGGCCCCAGACAGGGAGCAGTTTTCTACCACATCCTGTTGATGTAACCTAGATGATACCATGTGCTAGCCTGGGGTAGTTTCCCACATTGCCATGGTGATGTGAATGGATGAGATCATGTAGAGAGAAGAGGCACGCAGGCGTTGGAAGAGCAGTTTGCTGCACACGACCTCTACCTGGCCCCTATCTCTACACACCGTTACTATTAATCATCCAGGCAAGAGGAGGCAATAGTCTTTCTCTGTTGCTCCTTAGAAGCTGATCATATGTGAGATTCTGCCTTTGCAGAATTGCTATTATCAAATAAGATCTGATAAAGTGAGATCTGTTACCTTCTTCCTTGGCCATTCTTGAAATGAAAATTGTTTTGGTTGAAAGTGTCAGTTTTAATGCTTTATCTGCTCTTTAGTGTTTGCAGTGTCAGCGCTGCTAATATTGAATATTCTTGCTTTGACAAAACATACAGAACTGCCTGGTATTTTTAGAGTTAATTCAGATGATGGTGGGGAGGAGGAGGAGAAAGATAGGACTGCACTCTGGAAGAGAACGGAAGAGAACCTTTGCCCTTCCACCTGATAGGAGAAGGTGATATATGACAGCAAATTTAGGGAGGGAACGTGCTGGTAAATTAATTGCTCAGGGGAAGAGAATTTCAGATCTTAGCATCTCTTCGGTTGTGCCGACATGTTGTAACATAAATAAAAGACTTATTAGGAAACCAATGCCTGGAAGTTCTTTGAAATGTTTCATTAGTCGGAACCTGACAGTTTCCTGTATGTATAGATATCCACGTTGAGACTGGTAACTGATGATGGTGTTAATTATTATTATTCTTGCAGCATCTCAGAATGACCAGCCTTCACCCAGTTACGCCGCTGCCTCATTGCAGACCAACAAATCTCTTTCTCCTGACTCTTCACCATCAGCAGTGGAAAAGCCCACCATCAAAACCCCACCCAAGGTAAAGGAGAGAAAACAGAAGCCACGTGTGAGTGGGCCAATGCTCACATTCCAACTTTTTTCTTTCTCTTAATTTGCCGTCCAAGCTGAAAAACAAAAATAAATTTCTCATTTAATGACCACCACCATTCAGTGATGGTTTGAAGCTTCAGTGGCACAGGACAAGTGGTACATATGACTGAGCATCATAGTTGCAGCTGTTACGACACACAAACACACACACACACACCACGTTCATGTCATTGTGATCTAGCCATTCAGTGACTGGCTTGCAGTTATGCCATGGCTGCATCCTGTGCTCGTGTGATGTCTATTGGCAACCTTCACCGTTGGCTTTTGACAAGCTGAGTCAAATCAAATCAACCTTTATTGACCAAGTACAACATATGTACACTGAGATTGGCTAAGCCTCCCTTCGTGCACACACACACACACCGACACAACTCACAGTGACAGCAAACACACAATCTTATTACACCACGTGAACTTATTGCACAACGCGCCGGCACCACAAGTCTATCATACATGGAGTTATTTTCCATTCAGGGTAGAAACGGTTCTTCAGCCTGTGGGTGCGGCTGGCTAGGCTTCTATATCTCCTGCCCCATGGTAGGAGAGTAAAGAAGTGCTGACCAGGGTGTGAGTCGTCCCTGAGGATTTTCCTCACTCTTCTAAGGCAGCGGGCCCTAGTGAGGTCGCCTAGTGGTGTCAGGGGACAGCCCACGATGTTTTGTGCTATGCTCACCACCCTCTGTAATGTCTTTCCGCGGCTGTCAAGCCAGCATACCACACCATAATGCAGTGTGAGACCAGTAAAAGAAGGTCATCAGTCGTTGTTCCACTTTGTTCTTTCGCAAGACCCTAAGGAAGTGGAGTCTCTGTTGGGCCTTTCTGGCCAACTGGGTTGTGTTGATTTTCCAGGTGAGATCTTCGCTGAGGTAGACTCCCAGGAATTTAAAGGAGGAAACTCCCTCCACACAGTCCAGCCCCCCACCCCGATGTAAAGTCAACGAAGAAGCTGGAGGAGGTTGCAAATGGTCACCCTGTGATGTTGCACAAGTTGCTTAATGATGGCAACTACAGTTGTGGCCAAAATTATGGAAACCTTTTGGGAAAAGTGTACAGTAGAAATGCCACCTTTGGTTAAGTTTCCACCCATTTTTCTTCTAATTTCTTTATAACTGTAGCCTTGTTCACTTAATAATACTATTTTATATCGCTTTCTGGGCAACCAGTCAACTCTTTGCACCATGACTTTAATTTTATTACATTTTACAAGAAAGAACACAAGAAAACCCAACCAACTTGATAGCGATCCCATAACACACTGACAAAGGTCCTCCTCTCAGCTTCAATACATGACATCAATAACTGAATCCTACTGTGATCTGATTGGCTCATTGCCAAAACAAGATGACGCCAGATTGGCTCTCTCAGATAATTGAACAAACTTTGTTGCATTACATTCTTGATTAAATTATCTTTCCATCGATATATAATTTTATGGTACTACAAAAAAAAAAGTGTTATTAGCCATCAAACCTGAAAAATACACTTTTCCTAAAAGGTTTCCACAATTTTGACCACTACTGTAGAAGTGCTGGAACTGCCCTCATAAGTTTGTATGGTCATCTGACGATGTGTTTCATGACCTTGTCACTTAGCAACAGGAATTCTGTTTGTTCCCAATTACTGTTGTTAAGCAAGGACTACTGTACTTCCATTCCACAATCTACTACATTGCCTATCTAGGCACATGAGCGAGGTTCATTCATGGGTCAGAGCAGCAGGATAGGTCCCAGAATTATTTACAGCCAATCTAAAGGATCCTTAAGCTAATATCTGTCTCAGAAGTAAATCCAGTGAAGTTGGGAGAGGCTTCTCTCCCGAGTGTTTTAGGATGAGTTGCAGCCTTAAAGTTTTCTTGTCTTTGTAGGAACCCACCCCAGTTAAAAGGAAGTTTGAATTTAGCAAAGAAAATGCCGCTCTCTCCTCAGCAACCAAGAAAGCTAATCCCGAGAAGTCCCGCGTTACACACCCGCCTGCCAAAAAACACAAAGGTGTGTGAAGAAAGGGGGAAACTTGCGAGTTGAAATTTCATGCAGTACATAAATGTTTTTTGATTCATCTATTGCAGTGGTTCTCAACCTGTGGGTCGGGACCCCATTTGGGGTCGATCGACCATTTCACGGGGGTCGCCAAGCAAGGCTGTCCGCCATATTTTTTTGTCCGCCATTTTTTTTTCCCCTTTTCCGGCGGGTGCCTTACCTCCCTTGGGCTGGGCCAGCTGGTGGTCGGCCTGCTCCGTCTCTGCCGCTTGCCAGCTACGCCTCGGCCGGCGCAGGGGGTGGAACCACGCATGCGCGGCGCTCCCGGGCAGGGAAAGTCCTCGACTTACGACCGGTTGGGTAGTCCTCGACTTACGACTGGTTTAGTCCTCGACTTACGACCGGTTTAGTCCTCGACCTACGACCGGTTGGGGTCGCGGCATTAAAAAGGTTGAGAACCACTGATCTATTGCTCGAGCAGGGGGTCAGACTAGAAGACCTCCAAGATCCCTTCTAACTCGGTTGTTCTGTTATTCTAATTTGTGTGGCCTCCCCTCTCAGAAAGCATCTCTGCCTGGTGAACAGTATTAAAATGAAATGAAAGCAGTTGCGTTTTCAGCACATTGCTTTCTCTTTTTTAAAAAAATTATCTTTATTAAATTCCAGGCTCAAACATTAAAAACACTAACGTAAAAGGAAAAGGAAGTAACAGAACAAATTAAAATGACCAAAAAAATGCCTCAACGTTTGTAAATATTTTTAGTACATTACTTTCTTGAAGTTGGATTTTAAGCACAGACTGGGTAGAAAGGGAATTTCTTTACGCTTGCATCTGGTTTTGACTAATTTACATCAAAGAACGAGCAGTGATCTGGGCCTGCCTTCTCCTTACCTGACCTTTGCCTTTTGTTTTTGTGGATTTGCAGTTTCTCTTTCCACGTCTCCTCCCCAGAAGACGTTACCTTTCAAAAAAGCTCTTCCAACGCAGTCTTTGGAGGAGACAGCAAACGGGTCTTTCCAACAACTCCTACAGGGTACCGTCTTCGTGCTGAGTGGTTTCCAGAACCCCTTTCGCTCTGAATTAAGGGACAAGGCCTTGGAAATGGGGGCCAAGTACCGTCCAGACTGGACCCCCGACAGCACTCACCTCATGTACGTGACAGTGGATCTACCCTCCTAAAACATGCATTTTGTTTTTCCTTCATTCCCTGTAAGTTAAGCCATTGCAATCTCAAATGCTCTATCCAGGGGTAGGCAACCTCGGTTCTTTTATGACTCGTGGACTTCAACTCCCAGAATTCCTGAGCCAGCCACGCTGAGGGGAAAGGGAGAGGTTTCCAAGCTGAGCCATGCTGGCTCAGGAATTCTGGGAGTTGAAGTCCAGAAGTCATGGAGGGGCCAAGGTTGCCTATCCCTGACCTAGGTGATAGATAGATAGATGATAGATTAGATTAGATTAGATTAGATCAGACAGACAGACAGACAGACAGACAGACAGACAGACAGACAGACAGACCGACAGACCGACCGACCGACCGACCGACCGACCTAGATCGGGGTAGGCAACCTTGGCTCTTTTATGACTCGTGGACTTCAACTCCCAGAATTCCTGAGCCAGCCATGCTGAGGGGAAAGGGAGAGGTTTCCAGGCTGAGCCATGCTGGCTCAGGAATTCTGGGAGTTGAAGTCCGTGAGTCATAAAAGAGCCGAGGTTGCCTACCCCTGGTCTACTCAGTGAGTCTAAGACCACAGCTTTGTTTTTGGTAAAAGAACTTAAAAGAGACCCCCAGTTCTGCTAGGGTCTGCCACAATTCGCTGCAGCCAGTTCGCCATGGGACAAGAGTTTCACTAATATCAAAGAAATAGCGGAATAGAATCGTTAAAGAACGCCAAAGAGGAACAAAATGAAAATGTGAATGAAAAAAATTGAAAATAATTTTTAAATTATTGTAAATAATTAAATAGAATTGTTAAATTGTCCCGCAAAAAGTTGCCCTGTGGTGAATTGGCCACGACGACTTGTTCCGCAGCAGAATTGGCCGTGGTGAGTTGTCCTGTTTTGATTTTGCTAATAACATTACAAAGAAGAAATTATTTTCTCTGCTGTGCTTCCCCAAAATGATCAGAGTGTGGGCAGGACCTGTGGCAATTTCCAGTTTCAAAACTGCCATAGCAAACAGACCTGGATGTCTCTGGGGCCGAGAGCTGTTGTATAGCATAAAGAGGGGTAGGCAACCTTGGCTCTTTTATGACTCGTGGACTTCAACTCCCAGAATTCCTGAGTCAGTGTGGCTGGTTCAGGAATTCTGGGAGTTGAAGTCCACGAGTCATAAAAGAGCCAAGATTGCCTACCCTGGCATAACATAAACGACATGACTCTTGTGTCTGATACTCACGATGCAAATGCCAAGTTGTGTCCTTTGGGCAGTTAGCGCCTACACAAATACGATGTTGCTTTGACAATAATGAGTGTACTTTGTTAGGGAAGACCTTGAACTAAGAGCTGATGGAAGATTTCAGTTATTCGATGGGCAGTTCCCATTCATGGCTGCCCCAAAATGTGCCTTAGATGAGTTTGTTGGAACTTAAGTCCCCATCAAGTTTGCTGCCTTTAAAAACAGCCTTCCTTTTGCATTGCTGTCCATTGTCAAGATCTCCCCCAGTGCTACTGCTCTCTTTATTTATTATATCCCACCTTTATGATTTTTATAAATACAGGTAGTCCCCGACTTACAGCTATTCATTTAGTGACCATTCCAAGTTACAACGGCACTGAAAAAAAGTGACTTATGACCATGTTAAACCCTTAACGACTGTTGCAATACCCCCCTGCTCATGGGATCAAATTTCGGACACTTGGCAACAGGCATGTATTTATGACGGTTGCAGTGTCCCGGGGTCATGTGATCCCCTTTTGTCATCTTTTGACAAGCAAAGTCACCTGAGGAAGCCAGATCCACTGAACAACTATGTTAGTAACTTAACAAGTGTAGGAAATTCACAACTGGGCCAAGAAAGAAATGGAGCAAAATTCACTTAACAAATGTCTTGTTTAGCAATAGAAATGTTGGGCTCAGTTGTCGTAAGTCGAGGACTATCTGTGACACAATGTGCCGCACGTACACAATACACCTTCCTCCTCCTATTGTCACTCCAACAAGTCTTGTGCTGAGGAAGAGCAACTAATAATAATAATAATAATAATAATAATAATAATAATAATAATAATAAAGTTGGAAGGGACCTTGGAGGTCATCTAGTCCAACCCCCTGCTCAGGCAGGAAACCCTATACCATTTCGGACAAATGGCTGTCCAGTCTCTTCTTAAAAACTTCCAGTGTTGGCGCGTTCACCGCTTCTGGAGGCAGGTTGTTCCACTGATTAATTGTTCTAACTGTCAGGAAGTTTCTCCTTAGTTCCAGGTTGCTTCTCTCCTTGACTAGTTTCCCTCCGTTGCTTCTTGTCCTGCCTTCAGGGGCTTTGGAAAATAGCTTGACTCCCTCTTCTTTGGGGCAGCCCCTGAGATATTGGAACACTGCTATCATGTCCCCCCTCGTCCTTGACCAAACCAACCCAGCCCAGCTTTCGTTCCTAAGGCGGGACTAGAACTCGTAGTCACCTGGTGATTTGCCCAAAGTCACCCAGTGTGCTTTCGTGCCTCACCTGGGGCTAGAACTCACTGCCTCTTGCTGATTGGCCCAAAGTCACCCAGCCAACTTTCATGCCTAAAGTAGGACTAAAACTCCCAGTCGCCTGGTTTTTTTGCCTGCTGCCTTCGCCACTAGGCCGAACTGGCTGGTTTCATCCTGGTGCCTTGCAGATTGCAATGCACCCCTCCGTGTTAAGTGACTCTGTTTCTCCTTCCAGCTGTGCCTTTGCCAACACCCCCAAATACAGCCAGGTGAAGGGGCTCGGGGGCACCATTGTACGGAAGGAGTGGATCCTGGACTGTTACCGTAGCCGTCGGTGCTTACCCTGCAAACAGTGAGTTGTCCAGGGGAACGGGAACCTTAGGTAGATTCTACTCGGTCTTCATTTCAAACTACAACTGGCAGGTTCCCTTTCCCAGGTACCTGATGGGCAGCCCCGATTCGTCCAGCAGCGAACAGGAAGAGGAGAGCGAGGAGGAGACCACAGCTGCACACCGCAGAGTGTTGACTCCTCAACAGGTAGGCTAGCTGTGTTCCTTTTGGGCAGGGGTCTTCGAACTTGGCCCTTTTATGACTCGTGGACTTCAACTCCCAGAATTCCTCAGCCAGGCATGCCAAGTTTGAAGACCCCTGGTTTGGGGGATGTTCCCGTTACTGTGCTATATAGTGAGTTTCATTATAGGTTTTTCTTATCCGATTTGACGGTTATTTTGCAACCTGGACATTGGTGTAAGTCATGAGACTGTAATCCTTTAAGAGTGTTTTGCCTTTGTGGGGAAGATATCAGGAATTTTTGAGAGGAGAGCCAGTTTGGTCTGGTGGTTAAGGCACCCGGCTAGAAAGCAAGGGGCTGTGAGTTCAAGTCCCGCCTTAGCCATGCAAGACTGCTGGGTGAGTTTGGGCCAGTCACCAGGAGACTGTGAGTTCAAGTCCCGCCTTAGGCATGAAAGCTGGCTGGGTGACTTTGGGCCAGTCACCAGAGACTGTGAGTTCTAGTCCCGCCTTAGATATGAAAGCTAGCTGGGTGACTTTGGGCCAGTCACCAGGAGACTGTGAGTTCTAGTCCCGCCTTAGCCATGCAAGACTGCTGGGTGACTTTGGGCCAGTCACCAGGAGACTGTGAGTTCAAGTCCCGCCTTAGGCATGAAAGCTGGCTGGGTGACTTTGGGCCAGTCACCAGGAGACTGTGAGTTCTAGTCCCGCCTTAGGCATGAAAGCTAGCTGGGTGACTTTGGGCCAGTCACCAGAGACTGTGAGTTCTAGTCCCGCCTTAGGCATGAAAGCTGGATGGGTGACTTTGAGCCAGTCACCAGGAGACTGTGAGTTCAAGTCCCGCCTTAGCCATGCAAGACTGCTGGGTGAGTTTGGGCCAGTCACCAGGAGACTGTGAGTTCTAGTCCCGCCTTAGACATGAAAGCAAGCTAGGTGACTTTGAGCCAGTCACTCCCTCTCAGCCTATTCCAGGGAAAATAGGAGGCGGGATGTGTGCTGGATTTAAATGACAAAGAAATGTTGTCATTAAATCCTGCCTAAGCCTCCCCCCCCCAAAAAAAAACCTTGCTGCAATGAGTTTGCCTTCCTCTGTGCCTCTATAATTGACTCCTGCCCTCCTGTGCCAGAAAACCAGTGTGCCCAGCCCCAACCACAAGATTAAGCCTGCCACCAGCCCCAAAGTAACGCAGGCGGTGCCACCCAGAGTGTCTTCCGAGGAGGAGGAGGAAGAGGAGCCAACCACCTCTCAGAACAGCAACATCCACAACAATTCAAGGGCTTCCAGCGGGGATGAGAAATTCGCAGGTAGAGTGGACCCTAATTTTGGGATGCAGGGAAATTCCTGCTCCCCTGGAATCCGTGGTTGGTGACGAGTGGGGCATGGGGTGGTTGAAAGCAAGGTCCAGAGGCCTCTCTGCCCACCTTGTGGAGATTGTTGGAGAGGCCATCTTCTCCCCACCAGTGATCAGAACAGCTTACTCGGCAATTTGACAATGGCGACATAGAAGAGATTGCTGATGTTTCCTTTCTGTTGCCTCCTAGGTCTTCAAGACAACGGAGATGAAGGGTCCGGTGACACAGATGACGAGTTAAGGAGGTTGGTCACGTGATACCTGTTGCAGTTGACCCTTCCTGTGTGGACTGCGTCACTTAATAACTGAGACAGAGCTTGCCATCTTAGACTCTGTCGGGTTGAAGCCTGGAAGCCTTTTGGGGTTGTGGCGCGGATCCTTTCCCAAAAGCTGATCCCATGTCTCCTCTGGCTTAGAGTTGAAGAGGAACACCGCAAAAAGCAGCAAGGCGGACGGAGGCTAGTCCCAGAACCAGACAGTGACCCCTACGCGGGTTCCACTGATGAGAACACAGACGTGGAGGAACAGCCAGAGCCGGATCAGCCTATCCCAGAACTTCCAGGTTTGTCCAAACCGATCTAAAGTTTGGCGTTTCTTTTATTTATTTTTCCTAATCTCAGTTCCAATATGTGGGTTTTTAGTCCATTACTCTTTAGCTAAATAATCAGTATCTAGTACAGCTGGTCCCCGACTTAACGACCACAGTTGGGACTGTAACTTCCATTGCTGAGCGGTGCATTTTTTAAAGTAAGGTGCCGAGAAAGAGTGACTGGCCCAAAGTCACCCAGGTGGCTTGCAGGCCTAAGGCAGGACTAAAACTCGCCTTCTCCTGATCTCTAGCCTAGCTGCCTTAAGCCACCAGATCGAATTGGCTGTGATGATGAGAGAACTAATGGGTATGTCTGGATTGTCCTGTCTTCATTCCACTTCTCTAGGAACTTTGCTTTTCCTTTCCAGATCTGTTTGTTGGCAAATGCTTCTTCCTTTATGGTGAATTCCCTTCTCAGGAACGACGTCTCCTGAATCGCTACATCATAGCTTTCAATGGGTGAGTTTTTACAAGATCATTGCTGTAGGACTCTCCCACTGCCTAAATGGGTTGCTGCATTATAACTATAAATGATGCCATATATATCTATATCTGTCTGTCTGTCTGTCTGTCTATCTATCTATTCTATCTAATCTATCTAATCTATCTATCTAATCTGTCTATCTAATCTATCTATCTAATCTGTCTATCTATCTAATCTAATCTAATCTAATCTATCTATCAACAACTCTTCACCCAAAGAAAGTAGATGAAAATTTCCACCCCATCTCTAAAGCCTGTAGAAAGAATTGGGTTTTTAAAATCTTCCAGGAAGCCAACGGTTGAGATCATCCAAACCTCATGGCGGAAATTGTTCCAAAGGACAAACGCTGTGGCTAAGAAGGCACATACATCTCCTAGGTCCCATAAGACTACACTCTTTTACCAAAGTGACATGGAGCATGCCTCCTCTTCCCAATCTGATTCGACAGGCAGAAACCACGAGAGACCAGCAATCCTTCATACGTACATAATTATAGAAAGAAAAAAATAGGATTAAAAATGGCCCCCGTTTTTGAATACGTTCTTTCACAAAGGGCGGGAATGGAAATGGGCCTGTGCTGTTCTAGTCTTGATGCCAAATCAACTCTGTTTCAAAGGCTTCGTGTCCTAGATGCTTTCTTATCTCTAGAGAGAAAGAGGGCTCTCTCTAAAAAGCGTACTTCTTGACTTCTTGCAGGGAACTGGAGGACTACATGAACGAGCGTGTAAACTATGTGATCACGGCTCAAGAATGGGATGACACATTTGACGAGGTGAGCTGGCCTCTTCAGCCTTCAGGGAACTAGCCCCAAAGGGCAGGTCTTTAAACCATTTAATCAGACCAATAGGACCATGTCTGTCATAATTCTGAAGACTTTTGAGGAATTGTCAAATTTACATTTACTGAACAGGGTACTCAGTCTTCTGGTGGCTAGGGACTGTGCTAACGTCAGGAGCAAAAAAAAAATCAAGACTGTATGTTAAACTGCGGTTCAGAAGATGTATTGCTCTTTACACAAAAACCTAGTCCAGTGATGGCGAACCTTTTAGAGACCGAGTGCCCAAACTGCAACCCAAAACCCACTTATGCATCGTCGGGTGCCGGGTGGTTGTGGCCCATTGGGTGGGTGTGGCCAATTGGGTGGGCGTGGCTGCGGTAACGGCAGACTGGGTGGGACTAAAAAGTTCAATCAATCAATCCCAACTTTGCAAGATCTTTTTTTTTTTTCCCGTGAGAAGTTGAAATTGACTGATTGAACCTTTTTATTTTGCACACGGCGGCGGAGGCCTAAAGCAAAAAGGTTTTATAAAACCCAGCTGAAGGCCTAGGACTGGGCCGACGGCACGCGTGCCCGCAGAGAGGGCTCTGCGTGCCGCCTCTGGCACCCGTGCCATAGGTTCGCCACCACTGACCTAGTCAATGCTAAATTGGCGCCAGGTAAGGATCAATGAAATTGTTGAAAGGAGAAAAGAAGACAAGATGGTGATAGGGGAAATTTGGCAGGACTCCTCTTTCATGGAACAAATTGAAGGAGGCATACAAGGTCATGCCATTGCACTGTACCACAGTGTTTCTCAACCTTGGGAACTTTAAGGTGGGTGGACTTCAACCCTGGCTGAGGAATTCTGGGAGTTGAAGTCCATCCATCTGAAAGTTCCAAGGAGGAGAAACACTGCTGTACTAATAACTCTTAAGTTGGTGCACGGGATGAAGTTTCCCAAAAGAGATTCCTTAGAACAGACATGTCAAACACAAGGCCCGGGGGCCGGATACGGCCCACGAAGTGGTTTCATGTGGCCCGCGAAGCCATCCTGGAAACAGTGAGGGAACGGCCCCCGCTGCCTCGGCCTGGCCCAGGCCGGCCGAGAGCCAATGTACAATTTTGTGGTGGCCATCTATGCTGAAACACATTCAGTCTTAGCTCCACAAGGCCGTCTGGAAACAGCGAGGAACCAGCCCCTGCCGCATCGGCCCTACCCCTGGGTGCATGCTTTGGGAGGTGTCACCCTTTGTGAGGAATGAAGAAATGGACCATGCCTTGGCGCTTGCCCCGGTCCCACCTCCTTCTGCCAAAGACCCTCAGATCTGTCCCACTCCTGCCCAGGCCCCCACAGGCACCCTTGACGCGAACGATGTAGAGCTGGCCATGCCCACCCAGTAGGCCACACCCACTCCATCCACGCCCATCCAGTAGGCCGCACCCACCCAGCCCCCTGAGGGCAACCTCAATGCTGATGCAGCCCTCAATGAAATTGAGTTTGACAGCCCTGCCTTAGAAGGAGGAGAAAAATCTTAATGTGAATGCCAGTATTAGCCAGCGTCAGCTGTCTCTGTCTACAAATAGGCTGGGTTCAACCACTTTGAGTAGAGCTGAGATTTTTCATGGTCTCCTTCCTAATTTTGGCTCCAGGCTCTGAACGAGAACCCCAACCTTTCCTTCGTGCGTCCCCGTTGGATCTACAACTGCAATGACCGGCAGAAACTGATCCCCCACCAGCCGTACGTCGTCGTGCCACGAGCGTAGGAGGATCCCTGCTGGAGTTTGTATATAATGTATATTCGCCTCTTGGGGTGGGGGGGGGAGAAAGTCCTTAGCCTCCTGGATAGTTGAAATAGGGCACTCCTGTTGGAGAAATTGCCTTCCTTTTAAGCCCTCCCAACACTGGGGTTGTTTGGATGGTCTTTGTTTACGTTTTTTTTTCCCCACCCAGTTCCACCAGATCATGTCGGAAGCTAGTCCGCTTTTGGAAAGCAATGTTTGCTGTGGGCTTTTCTGGAACAGGGCTAGGGTCCTCTTCCAGGACGGAGAAGGCGTTCCCTTAAAATTAGAGCCCGGAGTTCAACAAAGGCAAAAGTTAATGCACAGAGAGAAATTCACAAATCTCTTCCTTGCCTTTGTATTTCTTGCCTTTCTCACTTAGTATTGGTGGTCCTCTTTCTCTTCTTTGTCTTCCCAGGGCATTGTGGGGATGTGTTCTGGCTGAGCATCTTTGCCTCTCCTTATGGAAATGTCTCTCTTCATACACTGAACCCCTTTACAGCAGCAAACCTATTTTCCTAGCAGGTAGTTTGGGGCTTTCGCAGAAGGGAAAAAAAACTGTCAATTTTTCACCCAGGATGGTTCCGGTTTCACGATAGTACAGATGTGGTTTGTCCTATCATTGGTTTAGGTCAGGGGTAGGCAGCCTTGGCTCTTTTATGACTCGTGGACTTCAACTCCCAGAATTCCTGAGCCAGCCATGCGGAGGGGAAAAGGAGAGGTTGCCGTGCTGAGCCATGCTGGCTCAGGAATTCTGGGAGTTGAAGTCCACGAGTCATAAAAGAACCAAGGTTGCCTACCCCTGGTGTAGGTAAACTTTTGTTTGTTGAGTGTACAATCTGCAGACAAAGCCCCAGCTCGTTTTTAAAATGCAGAGATTGACTAATAGTATTCCTGCCTTCCACGTGCACATTTTTTTTTTTTTTAGAAAAACACCACCACCACCACCACCCAGGAAACACGGTATCCCATGACCCCCCCACCCACCCAATCCTGACTTGTGTTGACAAATGCCCTTTTCTGATTAGAAGTGTTATATACGGGCTCCGTCAGCTAAGTGAACAACTTTCCCTGACCAATTATTCTGAAAGGAGGGTGTTTGGCCTCGATATAAGATGGTAGCAAAGTTGAGAACGGAAGTATTAGAAGAAGCCATGTGTCACATTTCTGGGGTAGGCTCCTGTGGCTGAAGTCTTCCTTTCATTTTCAATGAGTTTTTCCAAGTTCCCTCTGTAGGAAAACAAGAACTGCTTTATTAATTTCACGATGGAATTGTTCCATCTCCGCAGAGCATTTGTTAGTTTCACAATGAATTGTTTTGCCCGCTGGTCTCCTATCTTTTTTGGAGGGAAAAATATTAGACCATTTGTATATGTTCTTTGCAGAGCAGTGTTTCTGAACCTTGGCAACTTTAAGATTAGTGGACTTCAACTCTCAGGATTCCCTAACCAGCAGAATTTCCCAGCCAGCATTCTGGCTGGGGAATTCTGGGAGTTGAAGTCCACACGTCTTAACATTTTTAAGGTTAAGACCGTTCCAGAATGATCTCCCATTCCCAAAAGTTCACGCCCCTTCTCACTTTTCAGTTGCTGTAAACTGGACTGGGGGGGAGAGGGTGTTCTTGAATAATCTACCTCGTTTTTACAACTGATTTCTTTATTTCCCAGTTCTATATTTGCAATCAAGCCAGCCATTCTACTCTTGGTTCTTACTTCCTTGCTTTAACCACAGGAAAAATGTTAATCAGTTGTGGGACTGTTTTACTTGTGATGGGCACTGCAGAATTGGAGGCCCATCTCTTGTTGAGACATCTGTCAGTTGAAGTGTAGTAATTATTCTCAAGCAGATTTTTTATAAAGATTCCAAGATGGAAGGCAGAGATTTTTCCTGGAGCCTGAATTTTGTTTTTTTGTGCTGGAACTCTCAACCATATAAATAGGAGTGAGATACTTGAGGAAGTTCTCCTTACCACTTCTTTTTCCTTTTCTTTTTTTTTAAATCAAGAGGTAGAATAATTTTGGCTGTACCTTCGTCCCTTCTCATCTGTTATCCTGGCAATCCAGAACTTGTCCAGATAAGGAGTGGCTAAAACTATTAACTAACGCTCCATTTTGGATGGAGTGTGCTCAGTTCTTTTCATCTTGCAAGTGGATTTCCTTGGTACAGATGATGCAGACCTGTCTTCCCCCAAAAAGGACGCTGCAGTTGGTGGATTTCAATTCCCAGAACTCCCTAGCCATTCTAGTAGTTACAGAGAATTCTGGGGAATGAAAATTGGCATGTCTGGAAGGGGCCGGGATTGGAGAAGGCTGTTTCAGAACACATTCCTGGTCTCAGAGGATGGGATATTGCAAGGGAGGCTTGTGTCAAGAAAATTAGCTTTAAGAGCACATTAAAAAGAGCGCAGAAGGAATTTGCATGTGCCTCTTTTTAAGAGCTGCTACAGGCAGACGCTCAATTGTAAGGAGAAAGGAGTAGCCGTGGCAGCTAAACTAGCTCAATGTTTTACTACTGTACAGTCCGTGTTCCACAAAGACTCAAGGGCTTGTTTTCTATAAATTTACACCTTGATTTAGCAGTTGTTCTGAGGTTCTGGCAAACGGCGACAAACCTTCACGGGATGTATTCTTGTGCTCTCCTTTCCTATACCATGTTAATGTTTTTAATAAAACAAGATGCAAGTCTCCAGGAGATATCTTTTAAGAACTTACCGATGCCGCCAGGGAAAGATCATATTCCCCTGTGACCTCAAAAGTAGGACTCCTATCCCCTTGGTGAGGAGATAACGCCTTTAAATATTTTACAAGATGCTAGGGTTTCAGATGACAAGAGGCAGTTCTGAAACGGCTTCAAATTCTTCCAGGTGAGGCGACGAAACAAAACCGGGGCAGAAAAGGTTGAAAGTAATAAAATACTGCACAGTAAAATCTTCCAACCTGTGTACTCTTATTTTCTCTCTGCCCTGGCTTTGTCTTGTTCATATAGTCCCAGATGGATGTTTAAGCAACTTTCAGAAGCTGTACTAACAATAACAGTATTCAGAAGTAAGCAGAACATACCCTTGATACGTCGTAGGGTTAGGATCGTGTTTTTTTGAATATATACTGCTTTTTTATATATATAAAAAACAAGTATGTTGAAACTGCTAAGTAAGAGGTCTAAGCTAGAGTGCTCTGGGTTTTTATTATGACTAATGCCTTTAGTATTAAATGTTAAACATCAGCTAGGAAAGCTGAGAATTTATTAGATCAGATTGTTGTCCACTTAATTAAGCCTAGTATTTCTAGCAAAACGACTCGCTCTTTGTAAGCTTCCAAGAAGAGATGGTGCCCTCCATCTGTCTTTGCCATCTGATATGCAGAAATGGTGCTTGGGGAAATGCAGGGAGTCCTAGATTTATAACCAGTTGCTTAGTGACCATTCAAAGTTACGACAGACCCACCCAAAAGATCATATGACCTGGTTCTGAAGTGCCGATGGCCACTTCTCCCTCCCACCAGGGTCATAGGACCTCATTGTTGGATGTTCGACAAGTGACCCACCTTTATGACCATTTGCAGCATCTCATGATCACGTGACCACATTTTACTACTTTTTTTTTTTCGCCCCAAACCAGCAATTTGCTTCTGGCTTTTCTGCAAAAACACCTCATAGCAAACAATGGATTCGCTTTACGACCGCTACCCAAAAAAAAAAGGTAACGAATGAGTCTGGTCCTGTGATGACCTGGTTTTACGATCCACACAACTTGTGAACGTGGGCAGGCTCCATTGTGGACATTATGTTGAGTACCTATATAGACCTAGATTCTTTCTAGGACTCGGGTAGGCCACCTTGGCTCTTTTATGACTGGTGGACTTCAACTCCCAGAATTCCTGAGCCAGCCATGCTGAGGGGAAAGGGAGAGGTTGCCATGCTGAGCCATGCTGGCTCAGGAATTCTGGGAGTTGAAGTCCACGAGTCCTAAAAGAGCCGAGGTTGCCTACCCCTGGTCTAGGTCATGCTGGACCTGCTCTCTGTGACTTAGCTTAAAACCCCAATCTTTCTCACATGGGCCAAGCCTACCTTAATTTCTAAACTCTGTTTGCTTTTATATTTTATTTTATTTTATTTTCCCCAAGAAAAATAAGACAAAAACTCCAGCATCTAATGGAGCTTTACTTTTTTTTTGTTTTGTTTTTTTAGTATCGTCTCTACAAACAGACTAGGAACCAATCACACATACTTCCACCTGCCTTTCACCCAAAATCTGAATTGAAATGCCTTCCCTTAATTACGGGGAATCCGTCCGTGCTAGTTTGTGGGGAAGTGGAAAGATACATTACAGGTAGTCCTCGACCTACGACAGTTCGTTTAGCGACTGTTCCAAGTTGAACAACAGCACTGAAGCAAATGACGTGGTTTTTTTTCACACAACTGTTGCAGCATCCCCGTGGTCACGTGATCAAAATTCAAATGCTTGGCAAGTGACTCATATTTATGACAGCTGCAGTGTCCTGGGGTCACATCTTTGGAGACTTCTCACCAGGAAAGTCAATGGGAAAGGCAGATTCGCTTCACAATCCTGTTACTGACGTAAGAACGGCGATTCGCTTAACAGCTGTGGCAAGAAAGGTCGTAAAACGGGACAAAACCCACTCAACAAATGTCTCGCTTAGCAACAGAAATTTTGGGGTCAACTGTCGTAAGTTGAGGACTACGTGTATTGGGTTTTAATAGCGATTGTGTATTAATTGTGGATAGTAGTGAAAGACGGACTTGGGTCTAGAAGAGCATGGGAGACAAACAGGTGGAGAGAAGAATCCAAGAGGAAACTTAATATTCAATAACGAGGGCAAAATAGAAACGTTCGGAGTCTTTAGGTATGTGGTACAGTAAACCAAACACACAGGAGTAACAAGGAAGCAGGCTATAAAATTGTGTGTACTACATGGTGAAAATAAAATGATACAGCCCCTTTTTAGCCCGAGAAATTCATGTGTAAAGTCGGCTTTCTCTGCGTGCTTCTGATGCCCACCCTTAACACACCACCCACACCAATCCTGGAGTGACCTGAGGCATCTTTCGATGCAACGTGTAAACTACAAACCTGGACAGCGTGTGAATTTGCAAAATTAAGTGTTCTGTTTCTACAACCCTTTCGACATAAACTGTTGCCTACTCTTTCCTGGAATTTGTGTCTTAAGCGATCCCACTGGCAGATTTCACCAATTGCCACGTTGTCAGACTCAGCTTCGGTTTTGTAAAAATCAGAGACTTCTTAAAAGTAGACACCACTCCTGTCCAATGGGATACGATGTGCTCAGGCGTATTAAACCTCCAATTTCCACAGCCAAAGGTCGACTGGTCAAGGCAACTGCAACACAGCCCCTGTATAATGCACAATACAGATACCGCAAGTTTATAGACTCTTGGATGACAGGTGTGCTGAGTTCCACATTCTGGCACAAGCATGCACCGGTTGAGCATGAAACAAAACTATACACAGCCACAGACAAGAGGTTTCTCCTTTTGTGCAAAGCACGTAACAGATTCCGTTCTGCTGACAGTGAGATTCGGTGCAGGCATTCACTTCTCTAAACGTGATTAGTGTGAGAATCTCAACGGTGGTTTTGTTTCGCTGGCACAGAACTGATGGGGACTATGGAGTGGAAGGATTGTGTTTTGTGAGAACCAGAAGGTTAAAATGATGCAAAACAAACCACAAAGATGTACAAGTCTGCATAACTTAAAACAAGGTTGTAGAAGAGGCCCCGGGGCACGGCAGAAACAAGGTTCCTAGGGCAGTTTTCAGCACGGGGTGCCCAACTTGGCCTCTGGAGGGGAGCCTGTCATTTGGCATTTTGCCATCAAAGCCGAAAACAGAGAAGTTATGGGTGGCTGGAGGTTACGCTGCTACCCCCGACCTCCATCGTAACCTTCCATTATTTACAAAGATCCCACCGCTACCAAGTTTGCACATTATCCACGTTTCCCCCTTGTGCCCTCACAGAGGCCAATGTTCCTCCTTAGGACCTGTCTCCACTGCTGTGGCTCTTGTCCTGGGCTAAGTCATCGCCCACTTCTCCCTCCTCGTGCACCCGTTGGTGGAGAGTGAGGTTGCGCAGTTGCCGGAAACTCTTGCTGCAGCGCATGCACGGATAAGGCCGTCCCGCTGCGGTGGCCGCGTGGATCTGCTGGTGAGCAGCCAGTTTCGAGGGGTAGCAGAAACTCTTCCCACAGCGGCTGCAAGGGTACGGCCGCTGCCCCGTGTGCGTGCGGCGGTGGGCGGCCAGCTTGGAAGGATAGCAGAAGCTCTTGGGGCAATCGGCACATTTGTACGGGCGCTCCGGCGTGTGGATCCACTGGTGGGCGGCCAGCTTGGAGCGGTGTCCGAAGCGCTTGGGGCACAGAGAGCAGGGGAAGGGGCGCTCCCCGGTGTGCGTACGTCGGTGGGCGGCCAACTTGGACGGGTAACTAAAACTCTTGGGACAATCGGGGCATTTGTAAGGGCGCTCGGCGCAGTGAGTCCACTGGTGGGTGGCCAGTTTGGAGCGGTACACGAAACGCTTGCCACAGTCTTTGCACTGATAGGGACGGTCGGAGGGCAGGACAGCTGGAGGGCGCCGCCGGCGGGGACGGGGTGGCTTGGGAGACTCCGTGGCGGGCGCGGAAGGCAGAGCCGAGGGCGAAGGTGACTTGGCGTTCTCTTTCAAGGCTTGGGAATCTGGAAGGAAGGGAGAAAAAAATTCAAAAAAAAATACAAAGGATTCCTCACCAAATGTCCCATTTTCCTGCCTCAAGTTCCTTCTGTTGCCTGCCAGCTATTCTGCAGGTGGAATATAGGCAGTCCTCATTTAACAACCACTTATCCAGCAACTTAGTCAAAGTTGGCACTGAATACGAGGGTTTTATGATGGATTCCCACAGTGGTGGCTGTCGGGGATGACAATTCGGTCATCAGCTTGGCAATCAATCGCCTTGCAACCGCAACATCCAAACGATTGGAATTTGGATGCTTCGCAACTGGTAGTGTTTATGACGGTTGTGGCATCTCACGATTGTCATTTGTGACCTTCGCTGCCGGCCCCAGACGAGCAGAGTCAATAGGGAAGCTGGGAGAAGGTCACAAACGGCGACTCGGCGACCTTGGGACGCTGCGACTGTGTAGGATTCGCCTAACGACAGCAATGGGCGACAGCTGGAGCTGCCGCCATTAAGTTGATGCAGTCACACGATGTTGCGCTTTATGACTGTCGCTTAGTGACCAAAGTTCCTAGTCCCAATTACAATCAGTGAGGATTACCTACCTATATTTGACATTAGGCAGAAATTAAATGGAGGGATTTTTTTTTGAAGTATTTATTTACTCTTTTATCCAAAGAATGCACACAGGGTTGGACTGTGATTTTGGATTCGCACCGTTTGGAGAAGCGCGATGTGCGTCGTTTCGGCAAACAATAAATGACCCACATTCTTCGCCCTTCCTTACCTGCAACGCTGCTATTCAGCGGGCTGCTCCCCACTCCGACCTTGCTGTTGCTCACACAGGGCTCTTCCCCCCTTTCCAGCATGAGGACAAGGGTTGGCCGAGTGAGAATATAACCTGCAGGCACGGGGAGGGGATGGGGAGGGGAGAGAATAAAGTGGGGAGGGGGGAGTTAGAGGGGAGTCAGGCTCAGTTATAAACAGCTTTATGCATCCTTTCAAAAAGCAAATCGGTCCTAAGCAAAACAGGCCTTCTTTTACTTCTCCTGTTTCCGCTAATCAGAGAACAAGGCATGCCTGAAAATTATCTCACTTAACTACCAGAAATCCAGCAGAGATGCAGGTCCTTGCTTAGCAACTGCCTCTTTTAGTGACTCTTTGCACTTTCAACACTGATGAAAAAGTAACTTTGGGAACGGTCTTCCTATTGGCCACCTACTCAGCTTTGTAAAGGTAGTCCTCGACTTAGAACTGGTTGCTTAACAACCGCACAAAGTTACGACGGACCCAGTGGTGGGATTCAACTATGGGAACAACCGCTTCTCTGTGTGGATGCCACTTCCGGAAGTCCATTCTGGGCCTGGGCAACGAAAAAATTAGCTACCAGTTCTGCCAAAGGGGTGCAAACCGCCTAAATCCTGCCACAGGAAAGAAAGGGAGGGAAGGAGGAAGGAAGGAAGGAAGGAAGGAAGGAAGGAAGGAAGGAGTGGTGGGATTCAAATAGGTGAACAACCAGTTCTCTGTATGGATGCCGCTTCCGGAAGTCCATTCTGGGCCTGAGCAACAAAAAATTAGCTACCGGTTCTATCAAAGTGGTGCGAACCAGCTGAATCCCACTACTGGATGGACCCTGAAAATGGGACGTGTGACACGGATTTGAAGATCTGATATCTGCCCCCTCATCCATGTAACCATATTTTGGGCACTCAGGGGAAATAGCCTGGATTTACGGCTGTTTGCAGCATTCATGTCGCCTGACTGGGTCTTACAATGTTTTTGTTAGAAACTGGTGTTTACTTCTGGTTTCCAGACAAAACAGCCCGAGCGCAAACAATGAGTTCGCTTAATGACTGCCATATTCGCTTAATGACCCCTGCAAAACAAGGGCTCGTAAAATCAGGTGTAGTCCTATAGTTATTCACTTTGCAACCATTGTGACGGTGAGCTCAATTGCGGTCGTAAGTTGAGGATTACCTGTAAAGCAAAACTAAGCAGAGCTGTAGTTTTACTTAGCGACTATTTTGCTAAGAGCCACGCTGCTGGTTCCAACAGTGGTCACTAAACAAGGACTACCCTTAGAGAACAAAATATCCTTGGTACACTTTGGATCCCTTGTATTTAACAGACAGAAGTTGATTTTTAAATTTTAACTTTACTCACTGCATAAATAACTCCAGATTTCCAATTTAGGCTATACTGAAAGGTTTGATCATGGAAGAAAAGCACAATAAAACACACATAGTGGAGGGAAATATAAGATTCATAGTATCAGGTAAAAATTGTTTATATTGAAATGTGATCTATTCCATCATTTGCTTTTGGAGGGGAAAAAACCAGAAAATAAGAGAACCCAAACTTCCTATTGTACAGATAGTCCTTGACTTATGGGCACAGCTGAGCCCAGAATTTATGTTGCTAAGTGAGAAATTTGTTAAGTGAATTTTGCCCCATTTACGGCCTGTCTTGCCACAGTTCTTGTGAATCACTGCAGTTGTTAAATTAGTAACACGGTTGTTAAGTGAATCTGGCTTCCCCATTGACTTTGCTTGTCAGAAGATCACAAAAGGCGATCACGTGACCCTGGACACTGCAACTGTCACAAAGTCAAGCCAGTTGCCAAGTTTCTGGATTTTGATCACGTGACCAGGGGGATGCTGCAAAGTGCGTAACTGAAAAATGATCATAAGTCACTTTTTTTTCCAGTGCCGTTGTAACTATGAACGGTCACTAAAGGAACTGTTGTAAGTCGAGGACTACCTACAATGCAATTTGGCCCCTTGCAAACTTATCAATCTCCCCTTTTTCGATCGCCCACGGTGAATAAAACTGAGTTCGGGGTAACTAATCAACTTGGTTCCTTCTTCCCCTCCTACTCCCCACCCCTCCAGCCACGCCATAACTAACCGTCATGATTATGCATCAGCAGGCAAATTCCTTTGTAAACCTAGGTTAGGTTTGGTATGGCGTAGTTTGGTGGTGTCTAGATTAAACCTCCATTAACTAGCCGTGTTTCAATAGCTTGGTTCCCCCAGGGGCTGCCCCTGTATCACAAGGCCCTGGGATCCAATTACGGCCTTGATTCTGCTATTGCTCAGCTTGGCATCAGTGTGGCGTTGCCATGGTAACCCTGTTCAGAATACAGGCCGGAGAGGAGAAACTAGTATATTGACAGAGAAATGAGATGGGCTTACCAGAATTCAGCTACGGGATTATGGGCTGCTCTGAGCAAGGTGGGAGGAGGAGGAAGGGGGGGGTCAACAAGAAAAATTGGGGCTTCAACAACCAGAGATGAAAGTATTCTCTGGAACTGGAGGGACCCCATTTTCTAAGTCAAAATTGTGCACAGTTGAAGATCTGGGTGCATTTCTACCCTGGCGCCCACATATACAGAAGCCATGAAATGTGGACTACGACCCCCAAAATGCCTTGCCAGCGGCTGAGCTGGTGGAGGATGGCCAGAGGATGCTGGAATCCAAACATCCGGAAGCCCGCTCTTGGACTAGATTGTTTTGAGGTGTCCAGAGAAAACCGCAGATATTGGAATTGCAGTTTCTAGGCAGTAGCTGCAACCTGTCTGGAAATGCGAGGCAGGCTTTAAGGTGCCAAACATCAAATGGAGAGTAGTTCACAGCATATCTTCAATTCCACAAAAGTTTGCTGAAATAAGTAACTTCGGAATCTCTCTATGGCTGTCTTCACATAATACTGTCTCTATGCACAATGTGCAGAATACACTGATCCACAAGCCAAGGGCCTGGTTTGTATAACTTGCCAAGGAAGCGTTTGGCAACTTGACAGGTGGACTTCAACTCCCAGAATTGGAGATTCACATACACAGTTGGGGGAATTCTGGGAATTGACATCCAGCCGTCTTCAAGCTGCCAAGGTTGAGAAACACCGTTAAAGTCCACATGAGCTCAGTTTTAGCATTCCGGTGGATTTTAACACAGTGTCAAATGGAGCTACCAGGTCTTTAAATTTGAGCACTTGGCATCTGGCATGTATTTTAAACAGTTACAGAATCTTAGGATTATGTGAACACCATTTGCGGCCTTCCTAACCGGCTTCCACCAAACAGTCAATGAGGGAAGTTAAATTCGCTTAATGGAGTACATGATATTCACTTAACAATGGCAGTGACTTGCTTAACAACTGTGGCAAAAAAAGGTTGTAAAATTGGGCACGACTCCCCTAACAAATTCCTTGCTTAGCAATGGAAAGCCTGTTCCCAATTGTCATAAACCGAGGACTGCCTTTACTGTATAATTCTCAAGGCAGCCCATCGTAGCCATAGTTGGCTCACATCTGCAGAGTCAGTCTGCCCCTTTCAAATATTGTTCAGGGGCTTCCTTGTGGGAACCCAGCATGCAGTGCAGAATTTTTCAGCAAATCTGCAAGGAATTGGGATAACAGTGTTGGAAGATGGCGGGGCTGAATTCAGAAAAAGGATGTCTGTAAATAAGGTTGACCAGAGATACTGCACCCCAGCTCGTTCGAGCATTAATCCCCCATAGCCTGCCTGGAAAGGTTGTGTATTCAAATTCTGGTGCATTCTGGTCAGCGCTGGCTGCTGTGGCAACCTCCCCCCACTCCATGATGCCAAAATAAGGACACAAGTATTGTATGCAGCCACCCAGAGTGGCTTTGGAGAATGAGATGGGGAGGCATATAAATTTAATAAATAACATAATACAATAAAAGCAAGTGGTGCTTTGGTGTGATTGACATCGCGGGAGTTTCATCATCTGATGTCCCCAGATGTCCCCAATTCCGGTCCTTCCCACAGCATCATTTCCTAATTCACATCCCATTAAATCAGGCCTAAGCCCTATAAAACCAGAGCAGCCCCAGGTCAGCAACCAGGTTCACACTACACCTGCTTTACTCAACCCCTTAAGATGGTGACAGTCACCAAGAGGAAGCTTGGTTAGTTTTAAACCCCTGGATTTGATGGCCTCTTTTTTTTTCCAACCTTCCTTGCTACAAACCCAGCAAATGGGTGAATTTCAGTTCCTCGGGTTGTGTGTATTGTGTGAACAGCGTCCCCTCTGGATCCGTCAGGCTGGCAGATCCAGGCCGACTTTCTCGCCTTCCACCACCCCCACCCCCACCCCCGTCCCTCCTCCAACCCCCGCATCAATATGGCCTGAAATTTGGGCGGGGGTGATACAGATTTGCCCCCCGACCGAAGGCAGATTTTGCTGCAATGCACCCGAGTTAGAGAAGCCGGCTTGCTTGCAAGCATCGGGGTGGGAGAAGGGTGGACCTCCCCCTCCTCGCTTTCGCCGGCCCGGAGCCCCGCGAAGCCCAGCTGGAGGGCGGCAAGGAGACGGGGGGGCTTCCAACCCCAGCCTCGCCTGCAGCGGGCATCCTCCTCCTCCTCCCCGCCCGCCGCGCATCCCTTCGCCCGCGCCGGCTCTCCCGCGCTCCGCCTCGGCCACTCACCCGCCCGGGAGTCGGCGCCGGCCTCAGGCTGCCTCTGGGGTCTTCCCTTCATCAGCCGATCGCGCCGGGTCATGCTGTCCCCGCGGGGAGCCGGGCGCAGCGCCCCGCCGCATCCCTTCCCGAGCCCGGAGCCCGGCGAGGCGAGGCGAGGCGAGGCGCAAGCCGGCAGCCGCGGGGAGGCTCCGGCGCGCTCGGCCAATCGGCACCTTCCCGTTATTTTCTCTCGGCGGAGGGAGGCAGGCGGGCGGGCGATGAGGTAGCCGTGACGGAAGCAGCCTCCGGGGCTGCGTTCACACAACCCGCTGGAAGCGGGTCAGCCACAGACCAGCTGCGGCTTCTGCTTCTGCACGTCTGGGTAAGATGCTCTCTCTCCTTGGGTTCGTTTCTAGTCTGAGATTTTTTCCTTTTTTCCTTCCTTCCTTCCTTCCTTCCTTCCTTCTCCTTTCCTCTTCCTTCCTTCCTTCCTTCCTTCTCCTTTCCTCTTCCTTCCTTCTCCTTTCCTCTTCCTTCCTTCCTTCCGTCTCCTTTCACCTTCCTTCCTTCCTTCTCCTTTCCTCTTCCTTCCTTCCTTCCTTCCTTCTCCTTTCCTCTTCCTTCCTTCCTTCCTTCCTTCCTTCCTTCNGCACTGTAAAAAAGTGACTTGCCACCATTTTTTCCCACCATTGCGGCATCCCCACACAGTCTTGTGATTTGCAGTCAGACGCTGGACAACTGGTTCATAAATAGACAACTGGTTCGTGTTTATGATGGTCGCAGTGTCTGGGGGGGGTGTCGGGTGAGTTCCCCTTTTGCAACCTTCCGACAAGCAGTCAATGGAGAAACCAGATCCACTTAGCAACCGTGTTATTAACTTAACAACCGCAATGATTCACTTAACAACTGTGGCAAGAAAGGTCATAAAATGGGGGCAAACTCACTTAACAAATGTCTCAGCCACATAAATGCTGGGCTCAACTGTGGTTGTTAAGTCGTGGACTATCTGTATACATAATACTCCTTCCTCCTCTGTGAGGTGGGGTTGGGCAGAGAAAGAGGAAGGGTCCCCCAGCTGGTTTTCATGCCTAAAGTGGGATGAGAACTCAGTTTCCTGGTTTTTAGCCTGGTGCCTCAGTGTACTGTGGCGGTCAGCAAGACATGGCCCAGAAGTGACATTAAACTGTTGTGTAAACACAAGGTAACCATCCCTGCACAAGTCTTCCTCCTGGCCTCCCCCACCAGTTGTTTGTGCTCCAAGTCTGTGGCAGAACTTATACATCCGCTAAACCTTGGTTTGCTCAATTAGATAGGTAAAGCTTGCCTATCCTGCTTAACCTTGGTTTGTTCAGTTAAAGATAAAGGTCATGTAGCTAGAGCTAAAGCTGGGTTTGTGCAATTACAGCCAGGTAAATCTCAAGTTTGCTGGCTCAAATCATCATGTTAAATAAACCCTGATGGCTAGATCAACAAGCCACATTATGGGCTTAGAGTCACTGCAGCCACGGCCTCCTTTCCCCAGTTCTCGTTTCAGACAACTCTTAATTCCTATGTTATTTTTCTTCCAACAAAGCCAAAGCCAGCTAATTCTAATTTTCTCCCATTTTCTATTTTTCAGCCCCCTCAATGCAACCAAAGTTCCTTGGATGATTGCAAAATTATATCAAACATGCATTTTTACCAATAATGTATGTTTTTGGGTCAGGGCTCTGAACTCGCTAGTTGGGAATTTTTGTCCCCCATGCAGGAAACTAGAACGGGAGCTATTATAGGATACTGGGTTAAGTTGCAGAATAAGAGGAGCGTAGGATTTCATCAGGATTTCTTGGAATCCTGTGGATCTTCTCCCGACCCCGGCCTTTAGCAATTATGATCACGCTGCTCGGGCCCCAGTTCACACAAGACGCTCACTCAACCCCCTTTCTGGGGATTTGTGCAATAATCCAAAACCATTAAAAAAAAACCTAATTAAACTGGTGGGATTGCATTCACGCCCAGCAGACTAAGTCGCCCTGGAACTAACCAAGGTTTGCAGCTGGTGCGAATGCAACCCCCGGGTTTGCTCTCTCTCTCTCTCCAGGTTGTGTGAATGCAGCCCCGGCGTTTGCATACCGATCCGGCGCTTCTGGCCCTCAAAGCTCGCCTGCAATTGTCCACGTGAGCTTTCTTAGGATAGCAAGCATGCGGAAGAAAGGGGGGAAAAACTCATTCAAGTTATGCATTTTTTTAAAAAAACAAAAAACAATGCATGCTAGTTTTTAAAAATCGAGGACAGAAATGATACGAGGAGGGAAACGTTCAGCAAGCACGCGAAAGCAGCAGCCGCGCAAAAGCCACGCAAGCGAAACAAACGCAGCGATTCTACCTGCAGAGGAATCACCTGAGCAAACCTCGCGGAGAAAATGTTCGCCTGGACGCAACCATGTTCCGGGATGATTCCCCCCCCCACTTCCTTGGCTCTATGGTTTCACCCAATGAAGAGGGCAAAGAAATGACGTCGAACGGCGGCCGGTAAGGGACAAAATTAATCTCATTTGTTTAAGCGTAGGCGCTCCGTGCGCGTCTAGAACTTTTTCCAAGTGTCCCGATGTCGCAAGGTGTTCCCCCCCCCCCAACTGAGCCTGAGTTTTAATTGTAATCGGGCAGTTGGAAAAACTGAAGTTTTTAACCGGGCTTAGCGTGGTTCAAAACCCTTTCAGCAATAAACAGTTTGCTAAATAAGAAGAGGGATGACGGCACTGGAATAATTTTTTTTTTAAAAAAAAATCATTGTTGGCCACTGGGGATGTAAGAGCGTTTGATGAAGACTTTTTCCTTTTGCTTTGTAGGAGTGCAGCAAAACTTTTCAGTTTTGTACTCTAAACTTGTGTGGGAAGTCAGAGCCCCAGAGAAGAAAATATTAAAAGGGCAGAAAAAAATCCTTTTTTAAAAAAAGCAGGAGCCAACTATCCCAAACAGGAGCCAGCCCTATACAAATGCAAATGTAAAACCATCAGAAAGTTTGTCAAGACAAAGAGACTTAAAATCTGCATGCCCCACCCAAACTCTAGGAGTCATTAGTCCCATCACCAGGGAAGCGGGATATGATAATAGGATTAAACCACAGATATCAAGGCCTAGAAAAGCACTCAGAAATAGCCTCAAGGTTCATGCCACAGGAACAGGAAACTATTCCAAACAAAAGGCTAGAGGGGGTATAAAAACCTTCTACCCATGTGCTCAGCCCTTCCTCCCTCTGCTCTTTCCTGCAAGAACCATCTTTCTGCCTCTTCAATAAACTGTAACCTTCTTCCCCAAGCAGTCGCCATGTTGCTTATTTATCCCCAGCTTGGATAAACCAGGATGAAGACTTTAATCCAACACTTAGCTGGATTCCCTTTTGTCATACTTGTATTACGTTTCCCTGCAAAACAGAGCTTTTTTATGGAAAAAGTAACTACAGTATGTCAAAACCAACAAAATCTGATTATAGGATTGCATCATGTACTGCTTTGGTGCACGTACAGTCTTTCCCAATTTTCCCTCTGGGTGAATCACAGAAATGATGCAAATTAGGCTTGTGGGGTTTTCTGAATATTCGCTGTAAAAAAAAAAGTCTAGATTTTTTTTTTAACATTAAAATGACCCAACATTAAAATGGTGCAATTGCCAGAGTTAGGGACTCTTGCATCACCCGTCTCATGACTGCAAAATATGAATTGCACATTGTAGTTGCTACAACGCTCTGCCCACCTTAATGGGCAGCTCACTGGAATTCCCAATAGCATCCCTGAGAAAAAGGCAAACTGTTGTAATACCACATAACTGAAATTGGCACTTCTTTGCCCTATGGAAGAACAGGATTTGTACAAAGAAGCATGTAGTAACTTGTAAAAGCCAGCTTGGTCTAATGGCAAAGGCCTAGAAACCAGGAGATGGTGAGTTCTAGTCCAGCTTTAGGCATGAAAACCAATTGTGTGGCTTTGGGCCAGTCACTCACAGGCCAGCCCATCTCACAAGGTTGTTGTTATGGAGAAAAATAGGAGGAAGAAGGAATATTGTGTGTGTTTGCTACCTTGAGTTACTGATGAAGAAATAAAGGTGAGATAAAAATCTAATAAATAAAATTATCCTTAAGGTTATTGGAGGCTTGTCACTGTTAAGTGCTAATGGCTGCCATTTCAGCACCCTCTCCTCACCCCAAGGACAAGATGGCAGCTGCAACCATATAGTAGTGGCCAAAGTTGTGGAAACCTTTTGGGAAAAGCGTACAGTAGAAATGCCAACTTTGGTTAAGTTTCCACCCATTTTTCTTCTAATTTCTTTATAACTGTAGCCTTGTTCACTTAATAATACTATTTTATATCGCTTTCTGGGCAACCAGACAACTCTTTGCACCATGGCTTTAATTTTATTACGTTTTACAAGCTCACCAAATGAAGGAACACCAAAAAAACCCAACCAACTTAATAGCGATCCCATAACACTGACAAATGTCCTTTTCTCAGCTTCAATACAGGACATCAATCACTGAATCCTACTGTGATCTGATTGGCTCGTTGCCAAAACAAGATGACACCTTGGCTCTCTAAACACTCATGCTCATTGGCTACAATCAGATGAAGGAATGCTACCTGATATCAACCTAAGCATTTGTGCTTCTTTTTTCTGATTATTTGGCTATAAATTTTCATAGAATACAGTACAGATAATTGAACAAACTAAGTTGCATTACATTCTTGATTAGATTATCTTTCCATTGATATATAATTTTATGGTACTACTCCAAAAAAAAGTGGTGTTATTAGCCATCAAACCTCAAAAATAAACTTTTTTCCAAAAGGTTTCCACAATTTTGGCCACTACTGTATAATCAAAGCCCCAACCCCTTTTAATTCTCTAAGTATTAGAGGGCAATTGAGGTTGGTTTTGTTCTCAGCTTTCTTGCCATTGTACATTTTAGCTTTTGTACTGTATTTTTAGCCCTTGTTTTTAAAACTTTTTTTTTATTCATATGCATTTTATGTTATACAGTCCCCAGAGTCACATGGCCTGAGTTGAATGACCTTGTAACTCTTGAAATAAACAAATGTATCAGCAGGACAGGGTAGGACTTCAATTCTGCAGTTGTAACTGGCATGTTGACTTTTTCAATGTCCTTGCCACCCACTACTATGCATTGCCCAGGTGCCAAGACTTGTTATCGATGACCCTTACTCCCCTGGCTTAGCTAACATCAATATTGTAATGTGAGGAAGTGGGGAAAGCACAATGGTAGTCACTACGTTTCGGTATTCAGAGAAATGCAAGATGTGAAGGGCAGTTACGCTCCCTTCTGCATGTTCTTTACATCAGTTTATATATCTTTCCTACTGAAAGATCCCTGTCATCAAAAATCTCTAGGGAGAACAGAAAATTCCATTGTCTTGCAGAATAACCCGTGAATTGAAGAAGTGTAGCTAAATAAAAGTGGGCCATATAGAATAGATTTCTATTTTTTTATGCTTTGCCTTGCTTTTCAAACTTACTTTGGAGCTAAGGCCATTGATAAAACATTTGAAGAGAGACGAAATATATGGGTGAATAAATAACTTAATTCATGAACTCCTAAAAGTCACACCTATGTTTATTATCCAGGGTTTTACTCCAGCAATGTGAATTTTCGGGCTTTACATGATTTCTGAGGTCAACAGAACAACAGTTCTTATCACATATGCTATCTTGGGTCCATACAATATGCTCAGTTCAACCCAGTTGCCTAGTTTCTAATTCAGAATATCGGATGAGTCAACCAGTGGACTAAGGAGAATTCAGAGAGAGAGAAAAATCTTAAAAGACTTTATGCAATCGGCGGGGAGTCTTTGTGAATTGATATGTTTATTCAAGGAAGGCAGTTTAAAAAAGAAGAAAATGTATACCTTTATTCAAAGAAGGCATTTACGTGACTCTAAGCTAGAGTTCTATGGCCGTTGGCTTAAATCAAGACTGTCAGAATAATTTATGATGGTGTCACCGCCTTAAAAAAGTCACATGTTAACCCTTGCTCTTACAATCAGGGGAAAAAAAAGATTTTCCAGTTGCTAAGGAAAGATGGGATGATAGATAATTACTGCTGACTTGCCCTTGATTTTCAGGGATGGGCCTTGTGGCTGTCTATTGGCACATCCGAAGAAGCCACTTCATGGGGGTGAAAACTACGAGAGCGAATCGGATCACGCTGAGGCTGTTTTTCCTACAATATCTCACTCTTCCTTCAGGTGGAAGATGCTATTGGTTGAAGCTGCATACCAATAAAAGTTAATGTGCAGAGGTTTTCTGTTGAGCTAGCCAACTGCCTTTCATCCATGGCAAATCCACTTTTGGCCTACAATTCATTTCTTCGAACCACAAAATGTCTCCAGACAATATGAATGAAGCATCTCTTTCTTCCCCATTAACAGACTTCAGCATGTTTAGTGTGGAGAGAAGCAGAGATGGGAAAGGCTTGGGAGTGACTGACTTGATTGTGTTTATGCAACTGTGAAAGGTGTTATACCTGGTCAGGAAAAAAGTAGAGCTTTCTCGCAATCCCACCTCATGCTGCCCAGAACCACAAAGTAATTCATTGTTTCTCAGGTTTGGGAACTTTCAGATGGGCAGACTTCAAGTCCCAGAATTCCCCAGCCAACATGAATGGCTGTGTAAGGACCCACCCCACTTTGCATCTTAAGAAGACAGAACTCTTGGAATATTTCTTCCAACAGGCATCTTTATTAAGAGAGAGCTGGTTGCAGGCATTCTAGACAGGACTTGGGGTCCAAGCTCTCCCATTCAAGGTTTTAAGGGATCCCCCATTAGCCCCACCCCATCAGCCCCTTCTTCCAGCGACAGTCCCAGGCATTACATTCCCACCCCCTTTTCCTCACTGCCGGGATGAGAGACTTCAGAAAGGATTACATGAAAGGTAATGGCCCCATTGTTATTGTTAGTCCTTTTGGTGATATCCACATCCAGTCCCTTTGAAGTATACTGAAGGAAGTGAGGGCCATAAAGCCCCTTTGTTCACCCCCTTCCCTTCATCGTATGACAGAATCCAGAGAAGGCAGAAATGGGGTTTTCCATAGTTGATAACTA